CCAAGGATAGCAGGTCTATGCTTGCTTACAGACAACCCATCAACCTCAGGCAATTACTGACACACAATGGACTACATAATACTGACACATAGATGGAGACTAACCCCTGCTACAAAACCAAATGCCAGCTCTGCCCCCACATTTATTCTAACACAACTACAGTGCTTAACAATGTCACATACAACATAGAGATTACCTTTACCCAATCCTCTGTTAATGTTATCTATGCCGTCCTTTCCCAACAATGCCCCTCTGCACTCTACAAAGGACAAATAGGATAATATCTATGCAAAAGAATTCATGGACACAAATTGAATATCAGGAATGGCAATACACAGAAACCTGTTTTTAATAGTTTCAGTTTACCTGGACAGTGTACAACAGTGGTCCCCAGCCTTGGGCCTCCAGATGTTCTTGGACTTCAGCTACCAGAAATCCTGGCCAGCAGAGTTGGTGGTTAAGGCTTCTGGAAGTGGTAGTCCAAGAATATCTGGAGGACCAAGGTTGGGGACCACTGGTGTACAAGATCTGAAAGTTTTCATTCTGGAGAAGAAAATTAAAGGACAAGACTCCAGAGGACTGAGATAAAATATATACATGTGTTTAAAACTAATCTCAGCAGACTCAATATAAGCCAAGGCTTCTTAGGCCATTATCAAATGTAAAATACTGTGTTGTATCTCCTGTATTCCCAGCTATATTTCCTTTCTACTAACCAGTGACATCTCACAAGCCTCACTGGTGATTAGAGATACTCATTACCATGTTGTTCCCACTTATGTATTTGCGAAGGCTTTCACGGCTGGGATCTAATGGTTGTTGTGGGTTTTCCGGGCTCTTTGGCCGTGTTCTGAAGGTTGTTCTTCCCAACGTTTCGCCAGTCTTTGGCCGGCATCTTCAGAGGACAGCACTCTCAGAGCACAGAGTGCTGTCCTCTGAAGATGCCAGCCACAGAGACTGGCAAAACGTTAGGAAGAACAACCTTCAGAACACGGCCAAAGAGCCCGAAAAACCCACAACAACCATTATTCCCGCTTGTTATCTATAGCCTGGAATTAATTTAGCCACCAATCATTGTCATTGTTTACAGAACAATGGTTCCTGGGAGGGGAACAGAAGATCAGCAGGGATCCTAAAAGTCATTGCCAGGTCTACAACTTGTGCTCACAGTCTCTGCTTTGGGGTCATGTATAAATATTTGTCATGTAGTCTCACTCTTATGTCTGAGGAATTGGACTTGTCCACGAAATCTCACGTCAAAATATAGCAGTTAGTCTTTAAGGTGCCACGTTTTTGTCTCCTTTATTTTTCTTGTGTTCTTGACTGATGTGTTTGATTATACCACAACCATTTATTACTGTGAAGCCACACAACAGGATTTCAGCCAATATATTTTTTTCTATCAGATGTCACTTAACAGCTGGCATGATATACCAAATTATTTAGTAATATACATACACAGTCTAAGCAACACTACTGAGATCATTTGGTTTCGGGATGCTACCTCCAAGGAGATATCAGAACAGCATACTCTTTATGGCACAAAATTCTCCACTGTGTGTATTCATTATCAAAACCTCAATTTCAAAATAAGTTTTCAAAGTTTGCCAAAGCAGAGGAAATTGTGTATTATTTTTCAAAATAATCTAAACAGTATTTAATTTAAAAGCAGATTATGTTCATTTGACAACAATAATAATTATTCTTTCAATTTATATGAACATAAAATATAACTCCTATGACCTTAACTCATACATATTTGGAATAAATATGGGCAATCAAATAATTAAATATATTGATAGTGACTTGGATCAGAAGAAGGAGCAGAGGAAGACCACAAACTAGATGGATAGATAAAATCAAAATATCACCAGGACTAGCATGGATTATAATAAAAACTGTGCTGTCAATTCTGACTTAAGGCAACTCTTTTGGGGGTTTTTAGGTAGAGGGTACTCAAAAGTGGCTTACCACTCCTATCTTCTGGGGGTAACCTGAGACTGTGCAGCTGAACTCCCAATCTCTGACTCTATAGCCAGATACCTAATCATACAAAACAGTAATTTATGGAAGCACAAAGGAAGACCTGTATCCAACAATGGAAGTCAATGGGCTAATAAAGAATATGACAACTGTTTTTTTAAACAAGAATTGGAATCATGGAAAGTTATTTGACTTTTGTAGGTGCAGTATTACAGAGTATAAGGACTGGCTCAATAGCTTGATGTCACTAGTGAAAGCACTCCCTAAATTGCACTCTATTTAAAAGACTCTGGACAATGGGATCAGGAAAGAGGAAATTCTCATAGTTCCCAACTTCCCTTACTGCTTCCCATGCCACTTTCCATGCCATTTCATAAGGCCACCCAACCTTTTGCAGCATGTGGTATGTGTGTTGTGCAAGAATAAACAATTAACATTGCATCCTTGACCCTCATTCCAGCACCACAAAGGCTCTATTGCCAAAAACTGGCAATTAGGAAATTCAATCAAGGGTGTTCAACCTATATCATTTATTTATTTAGCTCTTAGGCATTATTGTGACTTCCTACGGTATTAGATGCGGATAGTGGAAGTCACTATATTTGCCAGGATCTAACATATCTTACCTTCTATTTTAACACAACCATCCCTTGTTTGTACCCATCTTGGCATATATTAATTCCATACTTTTATTGTATATAATTTCTACCTATCCAATTCTACTATGTGTTCATCTCTCAGACTAAGAGTTTATTACATAATCAAACACCCTTCTTCATTCCACCTAACAGCATTAAAGTTCACCTTTTCATACAAGGAGAATTCTACCTCATAAATCTCAGCCCCTTTCTGAAAAGTTCTGAACACTGAAGTTAAAGATAACAAACCTATACATATTTGGGAGTAACCTTTACTGGAAGTTGCTTTTCAGTAGATATGTATAGGACTGTGATCAGTGTATGACCTTCCTTAAACTCATCTCCGTACATAGAATCAAACATCAGTTAACTCTGTAACCTCACCAACATCTCCACATGCAATTCTTTTTTGAAAAATATTTGTCTGCATGGTCCAAAATGCTGCATACCAGTATTCTAGCTGTTTTGAAACCAGCATATATACTTGGAAAAAGAAGTGGATTACAAATCAAAAACTTGATTATATATTATGGATTTTTTTCTACCATATGATTAAAACCAATTGTTCCACAGAAAAATTTTATTACCCTGACTGATCTTTCCAAGCCATAACTATATGTATCTACTTTATATTGATTTGGTTTTACTGGTCTTTGACCGTAATAAAGTATTGATTGATTGAACTGTTCCACAGAAAAACAACAACGTATAATAGCTATTTTTATTCTTTACAACCAATTATGCAAAGTACTGTATACCTATAAAGATCTTAAAATTTAAATTTTGCCACAAACTCTCTATTCCCATGCATCTTTTCTTTATCTGTCTCTTGATGCAATTTAGAATTCCCTGAGATCACAGTAATGAAACATAATAGGGAATCTTCGATAATAGTTCTAACTTTCCTGTAGTCAAGTATAAAAATTCAGCTGAGTTCATCATACTTTTTATAAGAAAAGTCACAGAATTACAATTTGCTTGTGTTTGTGATGAGCCAATGCTTTACAATAACAGAGCAAATTTTATGACAGCTACTTCTCTAACAACTACATAAAGTAAAATTCTTAATACTTTATCTCATTTATTGAGTATATATAACTGAACTTATCTCAGCCCAGAAAGTTCACATACAGCATAGCACAGTCACATGTACCACTAAGCCTCAATAATTTTCCTAGTTTCCTATATGTACAGTCATATGAAAATTCCCTGGTCCTGGGAAAGTTTATACTGTACTAAAGGAATGTAAGAGTTTAAAAGGTTCCTACAGATAGTCTGCACTCTTCTGTTTATCCTATATTTTAACTCTTTCAGCAAAGTTTCTTAAAAAAAATAGCAGCTGAGTTCTACAGACAAATTTACAAAGTCTAGGTGAATTACCCTTCCTTGAATGCAGCTGAAGATACAAAATGCCTTAAAGAAATAGCATTTTTTTAACCCAAGTCTTTAACTATGTTGTAAAGCATCTCATGTATCACATATTACAGAAGTAGTTGTCATTACATTTGCTATTATATCCTATTCTGCTTTTACAAACTGAATCAAGGTCCAGTACCCATACACTACCCCTTCCTAGAACCACTTGCTGACAGAAATACTGTAGCTGAATTAAAGAGAGTATCTTAACAAAGAACGGTTAAACCAGGAACACTTGCCTATGTAAATTACTGAAACAAATTAAAGCGAGCTCCTCTGAGCTACAATTTAGCCAGGTAAGTTCTGTTGAACGACACTGTTGAAAAAAAAAAAGAACGGTTCTGGAAATATACACCTCAACAGAATGCATACATGTATAAAAATAGGTAACTCTCCCCTACAGGGGAGAGGAGTGAAAACTCATAATCCGTGACAGCACTGTTTTTGACGTGTTTTTTTTCAGCAATCAGGTTCTTTACAATCGTTTGCAGACGTACGCTCTGCACCCCATCTCTCGCTTGGTTTCGTAACCTGGGGCCAAAAACGACACAGGGACCCACGGCGACGCCAGCACTCCCGCCTGTACAGCTGTTAGCCTCTTCTGCAGTGATACCCACAAGACTGAATCCGAATTATCCCGTTTCCAGAGAGAAGACAAGAGGAAAGGCCGTTCAGACGAGTGCTGGCTTTCTGACATTTTACTTCCTAAACCCCGAAGCCCCTCCAGATCAGGGCGCTTTCCCCGCTCCCCACCCCCGGCTGGCTGGCCGGCCCCATCTCCGCCACCGACTGCTCCCAAATCGGTGGTAAGCCACCCTTTTCTCCCCATCCGCTCCTCAAACTGGGGCAACCTCGTTGCCACCCTCGGTCCTCCGCCCAGGGCTGCCGCTTGCACTCCCTCGCTTCCCCGCCGTGCGATGCCGAGCTCTAGGAAGCTCGTTCCCAGGGCCGCCCCTCACTCACCCAGCTTCCCACGGGATTCCTCCAGCTTCTGGATCTGGTTCTCGAGGAAAAGGACGGACACCCCGAAAGCCAGCACCGCCAAGAGCTGCAATTTAGGCGGCAGCATAATCCGAAGCAGCCCCATCGGCAGCAGGCGCCGCCGCCGCTTACAAAATTTAATTACTGCTCTTCCCATTGTGTTTTACCAAGGGACTCTCAAGAGAGTGGCATCCTCAGCACAGTAAAGAGGTGAAAGTGTATTTTGAAGGACCTGGCAAAAAGGGCATCAGAATCTCAAATGTAGCGAAGGCAGCTGTGGCAGGGGAGTGCGAGGCGGCCGTCCCGGGACAAGCGGGCGGCTCTCACATCCCTGAGGAAAATCCTCGCGACGGCGCCTCAACCGCCTCGCCAAGCCACCAACCGGCAAACCAGCCCCCCAGCGGCTCAGGGAAGGAGCCCCACTCCCTCCGCGGTCACAAGCACGCGCCCCCTCCACGCAACCGCCAATCTGCGTGCGCTGCTCAGCAACCGAACGCCCGGGCGTACTCACGCCCACTACTCCGACCATTGACCAGCCAGGATGCAGGTCCGTCCAAGCCCTTACCTTCTATTGGGTGAGTTCCTCCCTGTCGTCCATTCTATTGGGTAGTCCCCTTGCCAGGCCCTCCTCTCCAACGCTTCCTCACGTATTTAGGAAAGGACTGGTCGATATCCCGCCCTCCCCCAACACCACATTGCATTGTGATTGGACAGGCGCGTCCCCGAAGCCTGTCCACTCTTCCTTACTGTATTGGCAGCTACAGGTCCCGCGAATTGTCAGTGTTCGCATGCTGATTGGGCAAATGCCCTGCCAATCGGTAGGGGCCCGGCTCCGTGTAGACTATAGCCCCATACTGGGGCGTTTGCGAAGCGCCTGAAAAAAAGAATGAGAAATGTGCCTGTCTTTAAAGTAGGGGGTCGCTTTCTCGCAAGTAACCGTCACTTTTTTCCTATTTAGATTTCAGTTATAAGTTCCCTTCATGGAACGGTGGGGGCTGGACTGTATTGTGGCTTTCCCTTGGATCAGGCTTTGCACTTGTCACTTCGGTAGATGGGGGGGGTCCTAGCAAGGAGATTTCCTGTGGTGCCGCCGGTAGCCGCCTTGAGGCGCCAACATGGCGATGGAGAAAGGACTGGGGAACTTGGGGCGCTGCTGGGTGTGGTTGCTGGCGACGTTGCAGGCGGTAAGAGACCCCTCTTCGGTCGAAGCGATCAGAAGCTACAAGGGTTTGGGTGGAGAGCCGGTTAGCCCCTCGGGGCGGGGGGGGGAGCAGAAGAAACCGTCCAAAACCTTTTGTTTCTCACGCCCCGCCATTGCTACCTCGAGGCCTTAACGAGACGGCCTCGCTTATTTCGGACTAAATCCAATTAAACCCGGTACTTATTTCTGGATAACCAGGCATAGGATCCACACAAAGGATCCGGTTGCTGGTTTGTTTCCTCTGTCCCCGATTTCCCTACCACGCCTGCGGGGACTCTTCATTGAAAGAAATGACTAATTAAGATCGGGTTAGAACTAGCCTTCATCACACTTGGAACAGTTAATGGATGTTAATGAAAGTTAACATCCATTAGTCTTAATTTAGCTATGACTGGTTTACTTCCCACTGATTTGGGGGAACGGAGTGCCGTGATTTAAGTATTGTTGTTGAGTATATTTAAATCTGGATCCAGCCTGCTAAATGTTACCTTATTATGATACTGCAATCACCGCTGACTTAACTGGGTGCCTTTTCCCCACCGTCTGTCTGTCTTCGTTAATGCTATGGTACAGCATGTTTTGAGAGGACTTGTTAGGCTGCTGGTCTGTGAATGTCAACTGTTCTGGTCTATGAAGTTCAGGCATTTCCAAATGAGAATAAAATACTGTAACATTAAATTTAGTAACGCCAACTTCCACATTAACAAGTGTGATTGAAAGACCTGGTGTGTAGTAATGTGAATCCCAGCAGCTAGAACTGAGCTGGATCAGGAGACTCCAGTATAAATGTTGCTTTAACTACAATGCTTGTTAAAGGACCCTAATTAAGCATGAAGATGTAAAGTGGGATTAGTAGTTCAGATGATGGGCTGTGGAGCCCCAGAGCAGAGACAGGAGGCATTTTTAGGAGTGCGGTCGCTCCCTGTGGTTAATAGGGAGACTCAGACAACCCCATCACCCTCTCCTCCTAAGAAAGAACACCAGACCACAGATACACAGGAGCTGGAGGAGATCAACAGAAGTAAAGAGTGGAAGCATCAAGGGGTAGACACTTGGGATGTGTTGGTGGTAAAGAGAGGGTTAAATGTAGCTACCCAGACAGATTTGGAAAATGCAGGAAAGGAGCAAAGGCCGGTGGTGGAGGCGGGAGTAGGGGATATAAAAGGGGCCCGGGATGAGATCCCGGGGGGTGGGTGGGAGATGATATGGGTCCAGGATCCCTTGACCGGTAAGTGGGAGCAAGTCCGGGTGCCTCATGAGGAGGCTGATAAGCGGCGGAGACAAGGTGTACCTCAGAGACCATCTTACTGGGGTGAGTCTGAGACGAAGGAGTGGCAGAGAAAGAGAAGAGAAGGGGCGGATTGCTCGTGAGCAGGAAGCAAAACGAGCATGGCATTTGGAGGAGCTCCGGAGAATGGGCTGCTTCCTGGACTGTGGCTTGAACCCCAAGGAGAGGGATCCCCACTTATGGGGGTGGACCAGAGATGAGACCCTCCCCCTTCTGACCCCCAATGAAGAAGAAGGTGAATCCCAAGAACCTGAAAAGGTGTTGGCTGGACCGTGGGATTTGAAGGACGTTAATCCGTTTTGTAACAGTTCATGGACACCCTTGCGAGCTACGTTTCAGCCACAAGAGAAGTTAGAAGTTGAACATGTTGATGTTCTGATACCTGTTCAGAAGTTAATAAATCAAGAACACTTGTTTGAAGTTAAACAGTCTCATGGTTTATTTGGGGAAAAGGAGAGCCTTATACTCGAACCTTCACATAGGCCCACAGTGATACTGTTCTGTTGCTCCTGTGACTTTGTGAGAAATCCACCTGACAATTTTAACAAGCCATAATAGTACAAGGCTAGCCAGCACTCCCAGGGTTCTGCTGTTTTTGTTAAGTAAAAGACCTGTGCAGGTGAACGCATGAAGGCTAAAAGTGCATGGGAGGAAACACGGGCACTTCTGTGCTGGTTGTTTTTCACATATTTCATTTTCTGGGGTCTCTAATCCCATGTAATCTTCTAAATGCATTCAGCCACTCTCATTTGCACACTTAGGCACCCCTCTTCTCTGTTTTTGGGCCTCACACAAGAGTCTAAATGTCTGAACAAAACTAGCTTTGGACAGAATGCTACACTGTTGCAGTGTTTAATGAGACAATGTTACCTTACTGGATTAAGCATTGTATATTAAAAATTTTAAAAGACACAATGGAGCCTTGCCATGCAGTCAGTTCCAAATTATGGGAATCCTTTCATGGTTTTCTATGGTAGGGTACTCAGAAGTGATTTGCTTCCATTTCTTCTGGGGGCACTTTGGGACTGTGCAGCTTAACCAAGGCTACACAGTCTGGCTGTTCTCCTAGAAGGCACCGTGGAGAGTGGAACTCTAACCTTTGATTCGAAAGCCAGGTACCCAGCTATCCAGCCAGCTTCGTATAGCATGAAGTGCTATAAGAATCTGTGGCTTGGGACCTATTTTGTGCCAAGGAAGCACTGGGAAAAGCCAGATCAGTGTTCTGATTTGTTTTGTCTTTTACTTTATCGTCAGTAGCAGCAACATAACTATTAATTTGGTGATGTTACGTGTATTGATGAGGGGAGTGTTCCTGTGAGGAAATGCATGGTATCTTTTTTATTTCAGTTAGTGAGATCTTACTTTAATATTTTTGTCTTTTGGTAATGAGTTATATTAGTGAAGTAGGACATTGTTAAAAGCTCTGTTTTAGAAAAAAAGTGTTTAGTTTGTTACACTTGATTGCTTTAGGAATATAAGAAACATACAGGGTCCCAATAAAGGCCATCAACATTGGCATTCTGTTCACACGGTGGCCAACCAAACCTCTATGGGAAGCCGCCAAACAGGATAGAAATACATCTGCACCCTCTTACTCATACTCCCCAGCAATTGATATACAAAGGGATACTGTATCTTGTATTATTTTTATTTATTTATTTATTTGATTTATCCCCCGCCCATCTGGTCTAAAAGACCACTCCTATTAGAGGTAATTTGTATATATCTACTGTAGTAATTCATAACATCCTCTCTGAAAGTATCTTTTTAAAGTTGTCTAAATGACTGGTTCTTAACCTTGGGTTACTCAGGAGTTTTGGACTGCAGCTCCCAGAAGCCTTCACCACCAGCTGTGCTGATTGGGGTTTCTGGGAGCTGCAGTTCAAAAGCATCCGAGTAACAAAGGTTAAGAACCACTGGTCTAAATTAGCAAATTCTACAGTTTAACTATCTGTTATGTATCTTTTTTTCTTTTTAATTAATGAAATTTATTTCCTATCTAATAGTATAATATAAAATAATTATTTCTTTCCTCCCCACACCTCATCCCCTACGGTAGAGGTATAAATACTAACATTTCAGCATGGCTCATGATGCCCATTTTTTTTCTAAGAATTCAATAGACCAGTATTAGCTCTCCTACTAAAATTAATCTGTGTAAGGTTTCCACTCCTCAATAAATAAATTTTGAGATTTTATTCCTTTTGCTCCCTGAAGTTTATCTGTTAATTTCTCCTGTAGTGTAATCTGCCACATATCACTCCTTGAAAATCCCTTCAAAATTTAGCAAATACTATTTTGACAGCTGCTAATAAGTGGCTTATTATAGAGAGATAGAGAAGATTGTCCCCTGCGTAAAATAATAGTAATGCTATTTCTGGAGATTTGATTATGGATTACCCAGGAATCATGCTTTTTTCATTAAATACTGTATCCCAGACTGGCTTGACTTGATTACAGAGCCACCATAAATGCTGAAACAAACCTCTTGCTCCACAGTTCCTCCAACAAAGAAGCTAAATAGATAAATTTATACAGTATATGATAACTTTAATGGTGTCAAATGCTACTTCTGTAGTATCTTAAAGAGAAATTCTTGAAATCTCCTTCACATTCCCTTAAATGATTTTTTTTAAATTGGCCCAGTCACTCTCCATGTTTTCAGTACTCCTGTCATGTTCCCACACCACACCAAGGCTATGCAGTGGGCGTGTTTCTGAATCCAGCACGTAAGAATGCATGTTCGATATTTCCCTTTTCTGCACTTCCCAAAAAGTGATAAGAAACTCCTCAAAAAGGAGTGTGGCCTGTATGAAGATGCAGTTTACCTCTCCTGAATCTCCCACTATTAAACCTTTGTTCTTCTGAAAAAGCTGTGCTCCACTTTATCTATACAGTATTGTCTTTTCCCTCCTCATTTAGTTTCCAGATTGAGTATCACCAAACATAGCAACTTGTCCTTACTGGAGAGTAATCATTCTAGCTGCCCTTTTCTGCTGTTTTTCCCACTCTGCAATATCATTTTCAGGTCCTGATTTGCATAGCGGTTCCTTCTTGTTTTACATTGCATAAGTGTACAAATCTCAATTGTTTTCAGGCGTCTGTCTATGGAGCAGAATTGTCATCCGAAGCCTGTAGAGAGCTGGGCTTTTCCAGTAACTTGCTGTGCAGTTCTTGTGACCTTCTTGGCCAGTTTGGCTTGAATCAGTTGGATCCATTCTGCAGAAAGTGCTGCCAAGAAGAAGCTCAAGCAGAGATCAGAAAGGTATGTTTGATTACTGTACTTAAAATAATGGAAGTATGTCATTAAAATTTCCAAAGATGTCAGATTATCAGATCCAGGGTTATTTGATTAAAACTGCACTCATTTTATGTGGGCTAATAATTGCATAATTTTAAGCATCACATTTTTTCTTTCTGCATCTTCAGAGGTTTGAATTGGGCAGTCAATGAAGGAAGGTTAGACAGGTTCAAAACACAAGTCTAGCAGAGCAGTTTGGAGATATGTAAGTGATTTAGTAAAAGAGTTTGCTAAAATATGTTTTTACCAGTTTATCATTGTGTGTTTAAAACAGAAATTGCCTTAGGCCTGAATTCTCCAAGAAAATGCTGGATAAACTGATAGTGTAATAGATACAGGATATATGCCTACATTACACAAGAGGTCATTGGTTTTAAGAGGTTTTTTCCTCAGTACCTTGTTCTTTTTAAAAAAGTGCTTTAGCTTGGATCAGGTAGAGGTATGTAATTAAATGTTCTGAGTTCAAGTTGTCTCTGTTTTACTCAGGTTCCTGATGTTGGCCTTGTACATACTGAGCATGATCCAAATATAATCGCTTTTAACCCCGCACAGATAATTCCACATAAATAGCTAGTAATGCTAACTCCCTTCCACTTCGCAATCCATGGAGAAATGTACAGCGTTGTCCATGTGGGATGATGAAGTAAGGCCCCCATCAGATGTCTCACATCTCGGAGTACCTTGTTAGATTCTAGTTATTACCAGTTGAAGATACCAGGATCAGTTGTCTGGAATGATAGGAACTGTAGGCCAAAAACTTTAGAAATGTCACAGGTTTCCTACTGTAATCTCCAAGGTGTCAGCCATGGACTTGTACAACCATCAGGAACTTTGGGCTAAGTACAACAGGATGTTAGTGGTAGGACTATCAGGACTATCTTCTTCCTTTCCCCTGCAGCCATCCACATTGTCAAAAAAATCTTCTTGGAAGAGTTTCTCAGATTTCAGACCAATGGAGGGGATCACTACTTGTATTCTCCCATTTTTGCCACTAGACATTTGCCATAAGATGTTGCCCTCTGTGATTATTTGCCTAAAATGTATTAGATACTGTACAAATGTTAAAACAATACAGACTTTTCCCAGATTTATAGTCTACTGAAAATTAGATTAGGAATGCAGAAAAAATAAAGTATTAGGGAAAGAGATGCTGATCTGTTTGCTTGCATATGTTATTTTTCTGAAAAGGATTTGGGAATGCTGAATTAGTAATATTTCCACTGGGGAAAGCTATAAGAATAATGTATTTTTCTCTGGATGAGGCCACTCATAAAAGGAACTCCATTCATTTCAGATGTGGTTGCTGTGTGATACATTTTGAAATCTATTTTTAATACAAAGATGACTGCTTATTTCAAACACAATAGAACTGGCTGTAAAAAATTTTTAAAAGAGTACCTCTTCAATGCTTGCATGTCTTGCTTTAGATCAGTGGTCTGGGAACAGGGGTAAATTACCCCAAATGGGGTAAAAATGAAAATCCTGGGGGTAATGAGCAGAGTGCTACCCCCCCCCCACTCACTCCCATCCCCTGCAGCCGAACCTCAAACTGGAGCATGATTAAAGTGGTAGGAAAAGCCCCCCCCCAACTCTGTGTTGGCTGTCTCTAGCAAGCATGTCATTGCTAGCACCATTCTGGCAGCCACTGATGATGATTAAATCCTCTGCGAGCTAGCAAAAATTTTATGCAACTTGCTAGGCACATTGGACATCTTACTACTCCCTATACTACCCCATGGTTGGAGTGCAATGTGTTCCAGCAAAAATAGTGCACATCTTTATTAAATTTGGTGCATCCTGCTAGTTCAGTACATAGGCTAGCAGCCATTAATACTGATGATATATCCCACTAGTTCAGTACACAGCCTGTGTAGATTCAATAATATTTTGAATTTAAATAATGTATGATTTCCTTCCTTTCAAATCAAGGGGGTAATGTTGAGGTGTATAATTTTTTGGGGGGGGTGGTGGTAAAAGGTAAAAAAGTTCCCTGACCCCTGCTTTAGATTTCTTTACTAATGCAATCCAGTGTGTGCATATTTATTCAGAGGTGAGTTAAAAGGGATTTACTGCTAGCATACTATCACTCCATCATACAGGAATTATTTGTTTTAGAGACCATGAAAACCTTGTGTTTCTGATAGCTGAAGACATTATACACATGTTAGTGTATGTCTGCTGTGCCCTGTGCCTCATCCTGTTACCATTCAGATGGCAAATCAGAGCTGATTTTCGAACAAAACATAATAATGCAAGTGGATGGTAAATTGTACTGATTTGAAGAACTAGAAGACAAAAAGAATTTTTAATTGTACTTCCCATCAATTTTCAAGTCTTTCAAGCCCTAACATGGATTTTCAGCAGTAGTGACTTAACTGAATGTATATGGTTTTTGCTCTGTTTATACCCACTGAGAATCAGCATAGCTTTGTACAAGACTAAACTGCTATTTTTAGTAGATGAGTTCTCAATATTCATTATGTAGAGAGTGCCCTGTGGGTATTCCTGTTGATTCAGAGAAGGTCTTCAATCAAGTGCCCTTGAATTGTACGCTCAATGTTTCAGAAATTCTCTGCTTCAGGGAACAAAATTTGTTATCTCAAATTTATTTATGGAGACTTCAACACTGCATTACTTACAAATGGAAGTCTCTCTGAATATTTCATTTTCAAAAGAGGCATGGGCTAGGACTGCCTGCCATTTTCATTATTTTTTAAAAATTGAATCTTGGCAGTTTTGATCAGACAGATGTCCTTTGAGCAAGAAAATGAAACATTATTGTCTGCAGGTGATCTATTTGAATTGGACTCTTAGTCATGATAAACCATATTTCCTTTACTGTTGTTTCAACCATCATGGTCATATCAGTAAGCCATATTTGTCACAATCGGGATGAGTTGCTGTAAGCCGTAACTTCACAAGCCTCTCATCTCTTATTGGTGCAGCTTCATGGAGCAGATCAGACTTATTAACCCCCAATATTGACGTTTCAACCAAGACCAACACACTGATGGCTGTATCAAAACAGAGCAAAGTTAACGATTAGCCACAAGTTGCCACATTTGAAATTAGGAACTGGAAATAACAAGAAAGGGATGCAAATACGCCTGGGGTCACATGCCACCCCCAGGGGTAACCTTTCCCTTTCAGCTCCATGATTATTATAATGATTTGCTTGAAATCAAATTGGTATAAATCATGTGCATTTGTACATGAAGAAACTACACTCCTGCTTGTTTTAACTTTAGTACATATATTTCAAAATGTGCATTTTTCCATAGTATCTTTTTCCAGATCGGCTCTACTTTTGATCATGTTCTGTTCATTAACACTTGAATGTGTGTGTCATGAATTTGATTATGAAAATAGAATAATGTTGTATTTCATAGGATTTAGTTCAGAGCTGCAACAAAAAAGCTAGAAATCTGCTTATGCCCAGGTGCTAATTAGAGAGGAAAGTTGCCACATTTGAAATTAGGAACTGGAAATAACAATAAAGGGATGCAAATACGCCTGGGGTCACATGCCACCCCCAGGGGTAACCTTTCCCTTTCAGCTCCATGATTATTATAATGATTTGCTTGAAATCAAATTGGTATAAATCATGTGCATTTGTACATGAAGAAACTACACTCCTGCTTGTTTTAACTTTAGTACATATATTTCAAAATGTGCATTTTTCCATAGTATCTTTTTCCAGATCGGCTCTACTTTTGATCATGTTCTGTTCATTAACACTTGAATGTGTGTACTTTTAGAGGGAGAAGTAAAGGCTTGTCATTGTTGTACGCAGGGTTCTGGAGAGACAGTAACTAGGGTTGCCACTCTAGAGGAATAGAGTAACTAGGGTTGCTATTCTCAAGGAAACCATTTAAAGCAATCCTGGTGATTTTGATGGTACTGCCATCATCAAGAGACCAGAAAATATAATAAAAACCTCTACAGGAATAGCTGGAGAGCTGGAAAACGTGGTAATCTGGTTTAATTCTTGTGATTTCCATTTGCTGTTTACCTCTGTAGAAATAATTTCAGTTTGAAAATGGCATTTTTTTCTAAAACTGCCTATTTGACTTAGTACAAAGGGTGATGGAAATATTGACCTCATCATCTATATAGAAGCATATGAAATCTCATAAAATTTAGGCCCCTGTCAAAGAGCTGTTTGAGCCAATTCACAAACATTTTTAGGAAAGGTTATATGTTTGACTTACAGTATAGAATTAGAGTTTATAATTCTTATTTAATTATAATCACAGAGAGTTTTTTAAGAAGGCATTTTAACAATTTTAAAAGATCTAATTTATTTTTATCTGATTTTTTTTAAAAAATTAAATGTCTATTATTGTCTACACTGGAACTTGGAAAACTGTGGGAGGATGTGGACATCCCAGCAGCACACACAGAATTTTCAGTTCTGCATGTCTGTAAGTCCTGGTAAGGAGGAATTTCAAGACAAAAGCGGCTGACACCACAGAGATACTGTGTGCCTAATAGGTCCTTTACTAATTGCTTTTTCTTTCTGACTGTTTGCACCAGTGGCTTTTCCTTACTTTATCAGGAAATCAATGGCTGAAATCTTGTTGCAGTGCTGGGCAAATTGTGTAACTTTTGGAGGTGGATTGCTTCAAGTTAAAACATCTCTGTAGACATTGTATGCTGAGTCATGTGACTCTACGCCACAGATGAGTCTACTGGGAAAATCCAGAGGGAAAAATATGTCAGGGTCACATGGGAGGTGTCATTAGAAATTTGTGCCAAAGAACCTCATGCTTTAAAACCCGACAGTTTCTGTGACAGTCAAGGTTGCAGGGTTAATCAGAACACATGGCAAGGTTGATGTGAGTTATTTTTGGTGACCATTCTTCTTCTTGACTGGCCTGCCATCCCAAATAGGGTGCTGTGTTGTTGAAGAATGTTCTAAAGCAAACCATGCTTGACTTGCATGCGGTCTTGCTAAGTGCAAA